ACATCCTATCACCTTTGCTGTATTTTATTTTTACATGTCACAGGTCCTGCCTACATTTAAGGGGGTGAGGGATTACACAAAGGAACGGACATCAGAAGGTGGGATCATGAGGCCCTCCTTAGAGTCTGTCCACCAAATTGTTTGAAATAAGAAAATGAAATACTTGTTTCCATTTGAACCTGGCTGTCTAGGTATTAGTCAGCAAACAACTCTAGTACTTCACGTCCAAATTGAGCAAAGCATGTAACGTCATTCTCAAAGAGATGGGTACATATATTTTTTATCGCAGAATGAATTGGCAAGTCATACATCAATGAATGAGAATGTATAATCCTATTACACAGAAAAAAAATCATTGGAGTAAACAAGCCAATGTACTATGGTTCATATATATATGCCTAGTTCATAAGGAAGTTTGATAGCAGTTTCTCTGTAAGTAAATAATTGATATGGAACTCATTTTCTAAATATTAATTATACATAGCATCTTTATTTTTTTATTTAAGTTTTTAAATACTTTATCCTAATAGCTATCTTAGAGTTTACTAAAATATTTTGAGCTGCATCCTGAACAATATTTTTATGCAAATTATTTCATAATTTATCTATAGCCTACTTTTTAACATTTATTTTTATTGAGACATAATTGACATGTGCATTTTGTAAGTTTGATGTGTACAAAGTGTTGGTTTGCTATATTTATATATTGCACTATAATTACCACTGTAATGGTAACTCACACCTCTATTATGTCATTACCTTTTTTGTGGTGGGAACAATTAAGATCTAGTCTCTTAGCAACTTTGAAGTTTATAGTACAAACTTGTTTGTACAATATAGACTTGTCTATAATCACTATGCTGTGCATTAGATCTCCAGAACTTATTTATCTAATGGTTGCAAGTTTGTATCCTTAAACAGCATTTCCCCAATTTCCCCACCTCCTAGCCCCTGGCAGCCATCATTCTACTCTCTGTTTTTGCAAGTTAGGCTTTTTTAGGTTCCACACATAAGTGATACCATAAAGTATTTGTCTTTCACTGACTTACCTCACTAAGCATAATGCCTTCAAGGTCCACCCATGTTGATAAAAATGGCAGGATTTCCTTCTTTCTCATGGCTTGATAATACTTCATTATATATGTACATCATGTCTTCTTCATCCATTCATCTGTTGATGGGCACAGGTTGTTTTCCTATCTTGGCTCTTGCGAATAATGCTGCAATAAACATGGGACTGCTTATATCTCTTCAATATCCTGTTTTCATTTCCTTTGGATATATATCCAGAAGTGGAATTGCTGGATAACAATTCTTAAGAAGTTTAGCCTTCTTAACATTGTATTCCTTCACCCACATTTCTTGATATACAAGTATACAATCCTGAAAGTACTATATTTATACTTGCCTTTAACTTTGTTTAACTATAATATCTTAGGATATTTCAAAATGACACATATATATGAATAATTTGCTTACTATGTTATCAATCACGTATACAACAAACTATCTATATAATAGAATTTTCCAGACTATGGAATGACTACTAACTACAACAATACTTTGGGTTTCCTGTTTCATGTGCATGTTTTCAACCACTTCCCTGATACATAAAGACCCTTTCTCTTTGATAACCTCTTTGCAACCATTCAGTGAATGTAGCCATAGAGTCTTCCTGGTGAGGTTTAGTCTATAAGCCTAAAATAAGGTAATGTCTAGTTTTCAAGAAGTAATCTAAAATAGAAACAAATTTTTTTACTTTAAAAGTAGCCATAATTTTTATTATTCTAAAAGAAATTTAAATGCAAAATAGATTAATAATAGGCCTTATATTAAAGATGAGACATAAAATTTTTTAAAAATATGTTTACAGATAAATAGTCTTAGCCTAATCCTTTATTAATTCCAAAATTGCTTAGACTGCATCTTTCAAAAATCATCCTTTAACTTCACCTTAGCAGCAAACATCTTTTGGAATTGTTACTGACTCTAGGATTTCAGGTCAAATAAGTTTCTACATTTTCCATGAGAGATAACATGTTTAACATGCTTTGACTCTGAGAGCTAATGAAAGGGATGGTACTAGGTGACTTTCCAGAGTTATCAGTTACAATATCAATGGACTATTCTTTGGGGCCCTTGCCTTCCCGTGCTATGTTCCTAACTGGCTTAGAAAGAAACAAAAAACAAAAGGTATGTCTGTGTGAGTTGAAGAAACAAGAGGAGTGCTATCTCTATGGGTTAATCATCTTATCTTACATATGTTATAAACATAGATGATTTCTTAATTGATTTACTGTTTAAAAAACACACTTGTTTTTGTTGTATGACAAAAAACCAAATTTTATACAAAAATAAACAAAAAATATATATACAAATTATATACAAAAAATATACAAATTATACAATACATAATATTGTATAAATATACGAAATATACAATTATCGCATAATTTTTTTAAACAGAGAAAAATTAACCCACATCCCACCTCCAGTTATAACTAATCTGTTTCGCTGTGTAGCCATAATAAAGAGTCTTTATTATTGTCTGCTGACATTATTTATCCTTTCTCTCAAGAAAATAAATGGTGCATTTATTTTCTTGAGAGAAATTAACCCAATATGAGTGTGCTGGTTTTCCTGTTTTTCTTGTCAACCCAAGATATTTTACATATTAAAATATTTCAAAAAGTATTTAGTATTGTTTTTATTTGCATTTCTACTTTTGCAAGTAAGGATGAACATACTCTCCTGTTTGTTATTTCCTTTTGTGGCAATATCATTTAATGTGATTTGACTGATTTTGTTTGATATTGAATTAAAAATTGATTTATTAGAACTTTAAAAAATACATTGACCTTCAGCTTAATATATAAATATTCAGCTATTGTTTCTTGAGAAATATTTCCTCTATTCTTTCTCTTTTCTCCTTCTGAATTTCCCATGACACATATATCTGACTATCTGATATTATCCAAGCAGGCCCCTGAGTTATTCTGGGTTTTTTTCTTCTTTTTTTCACTCTGGGTAACGTTTATTTTTCTATCTTAAGTTCACTTACTCTTTTCTTTGTCATATCCATTTCGTTAAGTTAATCCAGTAAATTTTTTCAGAATTTTATTTCTTATTACTGATATTTTCATTTGGTTCTTTATTGTTGCTTCTATTTCTCTGCTGAGACCTCTTACTACTGAGATTTGCATGCATGGAAGACATGTTTTATTTTACATCTTTGAGGATACTTTTTTTTTCTTTCATTGAATGAAAGAGTCTTTAAATTCTATAGTGCTTTACAATTTTCAAAAGTTTCACACACATGATTTCATATAATCCTATAACCCTTTTTTGCCCCTCCCCCCTTACCCTTATCCTTGTATTGCCCCTCTCCCCTTCCCCTTTGTTCTCCATATAAGTCTGCTTCTTTTTTGTTGCATTCACTAGTTTGTTGTATTTTTTTAGATTCCACATATAAGTGGAATTTGTCTTTCTCTCTCTGATTTATTTCACTTAGCATAATGACCTCCAAGTTCATCCATGTTGCTGCTAATGGCAAAATTTCATTCATTTTTATGGCTAAGTAATATTCCGTTATATATGTATATGTGTGTGTGTGTGTGTGTGTGTGTGTGTGTGTGTGTGTGTGTTTCACATCTTCTTTATTCATTCATCTGTTGATGGACACTTAGGTTGCTTCCATACCTTGGCAATTGTAAATAATGCTGCTATGAACACTGGGGTGTATCTTTTCAACTTACTGTTTTCATTTCTTTTGGATACATACCCAGGAGTGGAATTGCTGAGTCATATGGTAGTTCTATTTTTAGTTTTTTGAGAAACATCCATACTGGTTTTTAGTAGCTGCTTTTAAGTTTTTGTTGCAACATCTGGTTTATCTTGGGTTGGACTCAAATGATTTTCTTATCTCTTTGGAATGTATTCTATTTTCTTAGTTCTTCACATGTTGGGTAATTTTTTTTTAAATATCTTTATTGGAGTATAATTACTTTACAATGTTGTATTAGTTTCTGCTGTACAACAAAGTGAATCAGCTGTATGTATACATATATCCCTGTAACCCCTCCCTCTTGAGCCTCACTCCCACCCTCCCTATCCCACCCCTCTAGGTCGTCACAAAGCACCGAGCTGATCTCCCTGTGCTATGCGGCTGCTTCCCACTAGCTATCTAGTTTACATTTGGTAGTGTATATATGTCCATGCTACTCTCTCACTTTGTGGTAATTTTGAATTGTATCATACACATTAATGCTAAATTAAGAGAATACTGGATTTTGTTATTTTTCTGTGATAAGTATTTTTTTCCTTTTGTCTTAGCAAATACTTTTTTGTTTTTTTATTGGAGTATTGTTGATTTACAATGTTGTGTTAATTTCTGCTGTACAGTGAAGTGATTAAGTTATACATACATATACATTCTTTTTGTATTCTTTTCCATTATGGTTTATCACAGGATATTGAATATAGTTCTCTGTGCTCTACAGTAGGACTTTTGTTTTTTATCCATTCCATATATAATAGTAGCAAGTAGCTTTTATGTCTGAGATTAAACTGCTTTAGCAATCCTTCCTCCGACTCTTTTCCTATTAGATTCCTCACGCTCTTCAGCATTCACGTTTCTTGGCATCTCTTTTCTTGTTTATCAGACCAGGAAGAATAGAATATTCACATGTATGCTCTTGCCTTTGCTGTGTGTTCTCTGTTCTTAGCCTCAAGGAAAAACTGCAAAGAGAGAAACTAAGCTCCACATCAGTGCACCTCCAAGCAAGTTTCCACTCCACCAAAATCTGCCTGCTTATGTTAAGTATTCAGGATAGCAACCTTCAGAACAGGAACACAGATCATAGTTCAAACATTTTTTTCTTTGTTTAAAGTGCTGTGATTCTGTTCTATGCGTGCATAGTTCAGATATGAGTCAGCAATGTGAGTAAGACAGAGTTTGGGGATTCTGGATCCAGCTCTTTCCCTTCTGGTGTTTCCCCCACACTCTTCAATGTTCATAGTATCCAGGTTTCATTGTTCTGCTTCCCCGGCCAGAAGGATTTTGGGATTTCCCATGTGCATTCCCTGCCACTGCTGTTTGCCCAAAGGACTAGCATAGCTCCTCAAAGATGGTAATTATTTGTACCACCTTCTGCCTTCCTCCTCCTGGTAAGCATGGGTTTTCTGCCAGAATATATCTGCTCTCTTCACTGTCTGTTAGTCCAGGTTTTATAGTTATTGTCTGCAAGGGGGTTGGGGGAGGTTCATGCAGTAGGGTCTAAGTCCTACATGCCCGGATGTGAAAAAATTCTAGTGGATTTCAATGGATTCTACTTACTATTCTTCTGAATTCTGTTTTTTGGGTTTTTTTGCTGTTATTTCTTTGATAATTTTTTTTCTCCATTTTTAAATTCTCTATTTCTGGACTTATTATGCAGATACTGGCCTTTCCCATGGCTTATCTTTTCTCTCAAAATGTCTTTTATTAGTCTTTTGCATTATATTCTGGGGATTTTCTCAATTTTATTTTGCAATCCTTGAATTCAATTTTTAAAATTTTGACACTTATTATTTTATTTTCAAAAACATCTTGTCTTTTATTGTTTCTTTTTGATAGCGTTCTACTTTTATTTATGAATGAAACATCCTCTTGACTCTCCCTGATCATACTAATTAGTGATTTAAAACTTTATTTTTCTGACTTGTTTAATTTTTGTTAGTTTTTCTATTTATTTTGGTCCTTCTCTTTCTTGCTACGGGACAAGTTCCTTGATTTTCCATTCATGTTTTAAATTGAGGCAGTAAGAGAGCTGATTTGGGATCTCTGTAAACATGGGCAGCATTTCGCCAGTGGTTGGCTTTTACTTAGTGAGTAGATGGGGAACGGGTGGTAAATATGTCCACCACCCACACTAACTGTGACAGTTCTGTTTAGTTTGTTCAACAGCTTCAGAGAAGAGTCTTCTAATTTCTTGTCTGAGAGTAAATTCCATTCTTGTGTTCTGTACACCAGGGTAGGTGAATGGGTGAGGGCTGTTGTAGGATGGGGGGGGGTCAGTTTTTCTTACATAGACCTTTAATTACCTTCTTGTTTCCACCCTTATTTCTCACACTTGCTCACTGGTTCTTTCTACTGGTTTTAAGACTGGAGATTCCCAGTATTCTTGCCATGTGATATCTTCTGACGCAGACTTCTTTATGTTGTGACTTCTATTTCATTCATACTGTACTCATATCCTACAAATTTGATGGGATTTCTTTTATGTTTGCAGCCACCATTCTGATTGATTTTTCTATTTATTTATTCAGTTTTTATTCCCTAAACTATTATCTTCAAAGTTATTTTTTTCATTCTTCCTACTGCCTTTCCTTTTCCTCCCTCCCTCTCTCTTCAGTCTCTTTTCTGTCTCTGATTTCTCTCTTCTCTCTCTCTCCCCCCTTCCTTCCTTTCTCCCTTCTTCCTTCCTTATTTTTTTTGTGACAACAAGGAGAGGCAAACTCCATTCTCAATTGGCTCTTTTGAACCTTACTATTTGGGGATGTTAAGTAATATATTTATTCCTTCAACTTTTTCTTCTATCTATAAACTGCTGAATATAGCTTCAATTAAATATAATAATTCACATTAAAAAGGTTGTAAGTCTGCTTTAATTAAAAACTTGTGCTTATTATAAATATTTAAATATTCAATTTTAATAGTATTTATTATACTTATAAAAGTTGTTTATGATTATTTTAGAAAATACAAAAAATCGACAATGCCATATAATCACTAAGTCTTATCACTTAAAGACAAATAGTGTGCACATAAATGAAGTGGTATAACAGTGCACAAGTGCTTTAGAAACTTTAACATAGAAATAAATATATGACTTTGTAAATTTAATCAATGTGCAATATAATTACAGGATCTAACATGATAGGTTTATTTACAGATTCAGAAGAATAAACATTGCCCTGCTAAGAGGTATATCAGAGAGCAAAAAGAGAGGGAGCCCACTGGAACTCGTGGGACCATTTCTCTATTAATTATCTCTCTGGAGGGTTTTCCTCATCCTTTTTCCTTTCTAGAAGATAACTTTTTTTTTTTACAAGCACATAATGTATATATATCTGAAAATACATAGGACTCAAACCTTTAAGAAAATTTGAGGATGCTGTTAGCATTCTTCTCATATAAAGGGGAAAATCTAATTTTGAAAGTGTACACAGAGAAAACTTTTGGATTTGTAAGTTATTACAAAAGTCTATAATTTTTGCTGAAGGAAAATCTTTAATCACAGATATTTAACCACAGTGCATGTCTAATCAATTGGCAAAGTAACTAAAAGTACTGTATCTCAATTTTGTTAAGTTCATGATTTTGTTAATCTTGGGGTTGTTACTAGAATAAGATAATGATTAAAATTACCACTCTGTAAAGTAGGCACTACATTGTTATTTTAATAGGAACTTGCTGAGGTCAGAGCTGGGTCTAAAGGTAGGAGCTACAACTCTATAGGATCATATGAGATGCAATTAAAAATTCATTTCTTACCTTGCTATTTAATTTTTCATATGTGTAAACTTTATCTCTTTAATCGGACCAAAGATGTCCTAATTGATAAATTAATTCTCACCTAGATTAGAAATATTTGTGTTATCCATTAACTTCTTCCTAGCCTGCACCCTTAGATTTAATCAGCATAGTTACCAAACTGCCCATTTCCACGGTAGCTCTTCTTATTCAAGTCTCCTAACTCTTTTCTCTAACTTCTTTTTTGTTTTTTTTGCTGCAATTCATCCTTCTCCTTTCCTGAGAATACGGACTTGATCATGTTGAGTATGCCTAACCTTCTCCTTTTCTGAGAATATGGATTTGATCATGTTGAGTATGCCAACCCTTCTCCCAAAGCTACATGGTTTCAACGCCTACATCAAAAGTTCTAAAGTTCTTACCATAACAATAAATTCTGCTTATCTTCAGGTTTTAGGCTATCTTCTCATACGTACTAATTTTGTCTTTCTCTGCTTCACCCACACCAAGCAAAACATCATTGCCTAGGCGAATATTATGAAATAAACCTTTGGGATTTTCTCACAATGCTTCCTCTATCTGGAATGATCTTCCTTGTCTAGGTTAAATCCCACCAACACTTCTAGGCTCAATTAAAATTCAAACTTCATCAATCTTCCCTACAGTTGTAAATTAGTCCATATCTTGATTGTATTAACATACATATTATATACTACAATATATAGGTAGCAATGCTCACATCTGTTTGCCAGCAGTAGATTGTCAGATCGTTTGGATAAGAGATCAGTTGTTAAATATTTGTATTTCTTACAAATTCTGCCACATTATCTTGCTAATGCATCAATTACATTGGCTACTGCTGTTTAAAACTATAAACATCTTGGCCTTGGACTTCTTAATTTGAGACTATGAGTTAAATAAGTATGAGAAGTAGAAATAATTGATAGAGTTTGCTTTCTTTTGTGACATTAGATCTAAACTTTAAGAGAATATGTGGTGCTGTGAGCATTACAACACAGTGACAGAGAGATGTCTCTCATCAATTAGACCATCTGCTACTATATCACATAGAAGGTAAGTGCAATTAACTGGGGAGATATTTAATTTATGCAATTAACTGGGGAGATATTTATTTATGTGAAATTAAATGGGGAGATATTTATTTATGTGAAAATATTTATATATTTTATATTTCATTTATTCACTTTTTTATTAATGCATCGTTTGCATATATATTAAAATTCAACATTCTAAGTGTACATTTTGATGAATTTTGGTAATTTGTACAACAACTTAACCGCCACCACAATTAGGAATAGAACAGTTCCCTCACCCTACAGTTTCCCTCTGTTCCTTTGCACTTGATCCCCCTTTTCCACTCTTGATCCCAGGTGAGGACTTACCTTCTTTCTCACTGTATAGTTTTGCCTTTTCTAGAACTTCATATCAATGTATTGATAATTATACAGTATGTGATGTTTTACGTTTGACTTCTTTCACATAGCATCATGTTTGTGAAATTCAATCATGCTTTACATATGTTAATATCATATTACTTTTTATTTTGGAATAGTATTTCATGTTTATGAATATACCCCCAGTTTTTTAATATATTTACCAGTTGATGGTCATTTGGGCTGTTTCCAAATTCTAGCTGTTACAAATAATGATGCTTTGGCAATTCACATACATGTTTTTGTGTAGACATATGCTTTCCTTTCTCTTGGTTAAGTGCCCAGAAGAAGAATTTCTGAGTCATATGGAAAATCCATACTTAACTTACCTGATTGACCTGGGTAAGAATTCCAGTACTATGTTGAATAAGAGTGGTAAAAGTGGGCACCCTTTTCTTGTGACTGATTTTAGAGGCAAAGCTTTCAAGGTATCACCTCTGAGTTTGATGTTAGCTGTGGGTTTGTCATATATGGACTCTATAATGTTGAAATATGTTCTCTCTCTACCTAGTTTGTTGAGTTTTTATCATGAATCGATGGTGAATTTTGTCAAATGTTTTTTCTGCATCTGTTGAGATGATCCTGTGATTTTTAGCTTTCCTTCTATCAATGCAATGTATCACATTTATTATTGTTTCTGATCTTAAGAATAAAGCATTCAGTCTTTCACCATTCAGTACGATGTTAGCTGTGAGTTTGTACAGATGCCCTTCATCTGGTTAAAGATGGGTCTATCCACTTCCAGTTTCTTGCGTGTTTTTATCATGAAAAGATTTTGGTCTCTATCAACTTATTTTTCTGAATCAATTTTGATCACCATGTGGATTTGCCTTTTATTTTATTACTGTGGTGTATTATATTAATTATTAGTGTTAATCCAACTTTGCCTTCCTGGGATAACTCTTACTTGGTCAAGGTATATTGTCATTTTTATATGTTGCTGGATTTCATTTGTTAATATCTTGTTGATATTTTTGCATCTATGGTCATGGAAGAAACTGATTTGTTTTCCTTGTGGGGGACATCTTTTTCTGTTTTTGCTATTAGGATGTTACTGGCTACATAGATTGTGTTAGGAAGTGTTCCCTCTGCTTGTGTTTTCTCAGAGATTATAGAGAATTGCTGTCATTTCTTCCTTAAATGTTTGGTAGAATTTTCCACTGAAACCATCAGGGCCTGGTGCTTTCTTTTAGAGAGTTATTAATTACTGATTCAATTTTTTAAATGTGTATGCTCCTATTTAGATAATCTACTTCACTTTGTTTGTGACTTCGTAGTTTTTGTCTTTCAAGGTACTGGTCCATCTCATCTAACTTACCAAATATTGAGATGAGTTGTTCATATTATTCCTTTATTATTCTTTTATGTCTCTGGGATCAGCAGTGTTGGACCTTATTTCACTTCTCATATTGGTAATTTGTGTCTTTTTTTCTCTTTTTCTTGGTTTGCCTGGCTAGAGGTTTATCCAATTTATCAGTCCTTTCAAAGAACCAGCTTTTATTTTTATTGCTATTCTCTATTGTTTTTTGTTTTCAATTTAATTGCTCTTCTTCCTCTTATTCTCTAAGGGAGAAGCTTAGGTTATTGATTTCAGGTCTTTTCTCTTTCTAACGAATACATGCAATACTATAAATTTCCCTCTATGAACTGCTATTTTTGCATCCCATACGTTATGAGATGTATTTTTATTTACTTCAAAATTTTTTTTTTTTTTTGTAGTACGCAGGCCTCTCACTGTTGTGGCCTCTCCCGTTGCGGAGCACAGGCTCCGGACGTGCAGGCTCAGCGACCACGGCTCACGGGCCCAGCTGCTCCGTGGCATGTGGGATCTTCCCGGACTGGGGCACGAACCCGTGTCCCCTGCATCGGCAGGCGGACTCTCAACCACTGCACCACCAGGGAAGCCCCTACTTCAAAATATTTTAAAATTTCTCCTGCAATTTCTTCTTTGGATCGTGTATTATTTACAAGGGTGTTGTCCAATCTCCAAATATTTAGGGATTTTCCAATTATCATTCTGTTGCCGATTTTTACTTTAATTCCTTTGTGGTCTGAAAATATACTCTGCATGATTTCTGTTTGTTGAATTTTGCTAAAGTGTGTTTTATCACTCAGGATGCTTAATTTGGCGAATGTTCCATGCAAACTTGAGAGGAATATGTATTCTGCTGTTACAACGTTCATTCTATAAATGTCATTTAGGTTACATTGATTGGTAGTGCTATTCAGGTCAACCATCCTTACTGATTTTCTGCCTGCTTAATTTCTCAGTTGCTAAAAGGGGGGTCTCCAAATATAATAGTTGATGTTTCTGTTTCTTTTTTCTGTCCCATCAGCCTCTCCCTCACATATTTTGATGTTCTGCTGCTAGGTGCATACACATTAAAGATAATTGAATTATTTTGGGGGGAACTGACATCTTTATCATTATGGATCTATTTATCCCTCACAATTTTTCTTGCTCTGGAATTTGTTTTGTATGAAATAAATATTCCTCTTTAGTTTTTTTTTTCTTTCAGTTAGTGTTAGCATAGTATATCTCTCTCATTTCCTTTTCTTTGAATCTGTCATTTTATTTGAAATGTTTTTTTTTTTGTCTGTTTGCTTTGGTGTACAGCATATAGTTCAGTCCTTATTTTTCTTCTATTCATTGTGACTATCTCTGTCTTTAAATGGATACATTTAGATCATTCACATGTAAAGTTGATATAGTTAAATTAATATCTACCATGTTTGTAACTCTTTTATATTTGTTGCTTTTGTTTTTTCTTCCTTCCTTTTTACTATACTTTCTGTGGTTTTAATTGATCATTTTATATGATTGTTTTATCTTCTCTCAGCATATCATTATACTTCTTAAAAAATTTCTTTCAGTGGCCGCCTTATAGTTTGTAAAATCTAATTGTAACTTCAAAAAACACTCTACTTCTTCAGTTGTAGTAAAGATACCTTGTAACACAATGTTCCCATTCATCCCTCTTTCCCTGTATGATATTTGTGTCATTCGTTTTATACCCGTCCTTTCCATCCACCGGGAGCTCAACTGTGCTGGGAGAAAGCTGAGCTGCCAGATGTTGGAGTAGCCAATTAAAGCAACAAGCTCAAGATAAATGAGTTAAGCCTTTAATAACTTACTTGAGATGGTATAAGCAAGAGGCTACAACTGGAGATAGCTCTGACATCCCCTGTTCCGTTTTTCTCCATGGAACTGCGAACAGTGGACGGTCAGGTGGACTAGCACAGATGTGGGTTCATCTCCTGTCAAGGGAATGTGATGAAAAAACAGCCATTCTGAGTTACTGCCTAAGCATTTCACAGTGTGACAGCCCTGCTCACACCCAGAGCCTGGACATTTAGATAAGGACCTGAGCTTAGGATTCCTGCAACAAGGTCTTGCTTTGCTTTTCCTGAGTCACCTTTCGAAAATAACTGCTTACACTTACAGAACCACCTATGAAAAGTTAGTGACCTCTGCCCCAACCACCTTATAAGTAACAGGTGCTTGCTACCCTGAGCTATGTCTCTTGCTTGCTTGTGACCTGGGATAGAGGACTGCCCTTCCCCTGGCTCACTGTACACCCACGCCCCTTTTCTGGGATGTCTAAGTGATAAATCTTGTGACTTTACTTCCTTTGTGTGAGTGTATAAAAACTGCACCTTCAATCAAAACTGCTCTGAGGTTTACTCTTCCCCAGAGTGGGAGCTCAGATGCTGAGGGACCAACCTGCTGACCCCTTTGGGGGGGTATACCTCCTTAGTCTGCAGGTCATAATCTGCATATTCTTAATGTAACACATGAGCTATGCCGCCCCCCCCCACAAAAAAAAAAAAGAGAGCCTTGAACAAAGGTCTCTGGCAGTATGGATCCTGGGGTCAGGGTCAAGGGTAGGAGTGGAAAAGTACTGGGTCAGAGGCGTGAAAAGTAGTAAAAGGTTTCCCCTTCCTTCCTCTCCCATAAGGAGGCCTCCATAAAGGTGCCTGTAGAAGATCTTTGTCCAAGGCCTCTGAGAGAAAGACCTAGGAACGAAAGCACCAGGGCTAGGAAAGCAAATATGCAAAAGTATGACTGGGGAGAGGGGCCTGAGTCCTTGGCTGCAACTCCCTTAAGAGTCTGTGGCACACCGGCTGTGCACCAAGTCTGGTGTGGGGCGGGGAGGGCAACTTTCCCCTGCCTGGGCTGCCAGGGGAGCCTCTGTGATTTACCATGGTCAGGGCTGAAACACAGGTTTTCAACCTCACCTGATACCCATTTGCTATAATCCCTCAATATATTGTAGTGTTATTACTTGAACAGTGATCTTTATATCAAGAATAAAAAATATTTTATTTTAGCGTCATTTATTCATTCTCCAATGCTTCCTTTCTTTATGGAGCTCTTAGTTTTTGACCTATATCATTTTCCTTCTCCCTGAATCACTAATTTTCACTTTTCTTGCAGGACAGTTCTCCTGCTGCTGAATTCCTCCAGGTTTTATTTATCTGAGAAAGACTTTATTTCTCCTTCATTTTGAAGGATAATTTTGCTGGATATAGAAATCTAGATTTATGTGTTGTTGTTTTTTTTCCTTTCAACATCTTAAATATTTCACTCCACTCGCTTCTTGCTTGCATGGCTTCTGAGAAGTGTGTTGTATTTTTGTTGTTGTTGCTGCTGCCGTTGGTGTTGACTTGTTCCTCTATAGGTAAGGTGTTTCATCCCCAACCCTAGGCTTCTTTCGCAATTTTCTCTTTGCCTTTTTTTCTTTATAATTTGAATATGATATGTCTAGATGTGGTTTTGGGTATTTAGTCTGTTGGTTGCTTGCCGACCTTCCTGGATCTGTGCTTTGGCGTCTGTTGGCAATTTTGGACAATTCTTGGCCATTATGACTTCACATATTTCTTCTGGTCTCCTATCTTTCCTCTGTTTCTAGAATTCAAATTATATATATATATATATATATATATATTACATCTTTTGAAATTTTCCCATATTTTTTTCTGTTATATTCTGTTTTTTTCTTTTTCCATTTTATTTCTTCTTTGCATTTCAGTTTGTAAAATTTCTACTGACCTATGTTCAAGCTCACTGGTTCTTTCCTCAGCCATGTCCAGTCTGCAGAGCTCACTGAAGACATCCTTCTTCCTTCATAGTGGTTTCATTTCTAGCACTGCCTTTCGATTCTCATAGGTTTTTACTGCTTCTGACTACATTACCCATCTGTTTATGCTTGTTGTCCACTTTTCCATTAGCAACCTTAATATACTAATCATAGTTCTTTTAAATTCCTTCTCTGATAATTCAAAATGTGTGTCAAAACAGGGTTTGGTTCTGATGCTTGCCTTGTCTCTTCAGCACGTTTTTTTCTTACGTTTAACATGCCTGGTAATCTTAATTTAAAGTCAGAAATAATTCATCAAGTAATAGGAACTGAGGAAAATAGGGCTTGAGTTTTTATGAGGTTTTATGTTAATCTGGCTGGGAGTTGGGCTGTGTTTAATGAATGCTTCAGAGTCTGCTAGTATCCTGTTGTCTTTCCCGCTGCCTTGAAAAAGCTCTAAGTACTCCCAACTCAGATCAGAGCTGTCTTATAGCTCTTCCCATTGCAATGCCCTGTTATTATACCAAAGCCCTGTTGGTGTGGTGGCAAGGCGTTGCAGAGAGAGGGCATTCTATTAACCTGATGACCAAACCTCAGTCTTTTAGGGGGCCTGTGTCCCTGGGCTGTGACCATCACTCATTCCTCCCTTAGCCATTCTTCCCTTAGGTGAGACAAGAAGGAGGGAGGAAACTGGAATCACAAAGTACCTTTCCTCCGTGTGGAATATGGTCCAGGTAAGGACATGTTCCCTGGCAAGTGGAGCTTTGTTATGGAGAACACTCTGGGCATAGTTCACAAAGTTTACTTTTCCTCCTCCTGCCAAAGCCGATTTTCTTGGCTCTTAATGTAAGAATTTGGTGGAGTTCTTTGAGGTCAAAACCACAAAAGAGTTTAGGACTCCCCCTAAAACTGCAACCACCAGGAATTTCTCACTCTCAAGTGAATCCAAACTCAGTCCCTAATAATTCATAAAAATTACCATAAAACTGTTCCAACCTGTTTGTAACTCCAGTGATTTCTCTCCCAGGTAAGCTTATCTTGGCTGTGATGCTCCCGCTTCACCTGTCTTTCTTGATTTGGGGATGGCAGTTTTCCCTGTTTGTTTAGTTCTCGGATGGATCTAAGAAAAGTTGGTGATTTTTAGTTACTCCAGGCTTTTCTTGTAAGGACAGGAATAGTGCCTTCCAAGCTTTTTATATGTTAGAACTGAAACCAGAAATACCAGTCATGCGTTTTGACTCCTCCAATCCTGAAACTCCAATTATTTGCATGTACACCATTTACTATTGTTCCAGAGCACTTGGGGAAACTATATTTTCATCTCACTTTTATGAATATGTTTTTATTTCACTTTCATCTTTATATTTTTATTTCACATTTTTTTACATCATTTTGGATATTTTCTCTTGACCTATTTGTACGTTCACTGAATCTTTCCTTTGCCCTGTCCAGCCTATTGGCAAACCTGTAAGAGAGATTCTTTCATTTTTAATATTTATTTTTATTTCTCGCATTCCCATTTGACTCTCTTGTTATATGTTTCAGCTCCATGTGAAATTTCCTGTCTTGTCATAGGCATTCTTATATATTTGGTTTCATGTGAAAGTTACCTGAAACTAAGTGCACTATCAAAAAGGATAATTAAGTTTGTTGAGTGCATACTATTTGTAACTTATTTCTTTTTAAA